TCTTTCTTTTTTTTTTGATTTCCTTGAAAGTCTTTTCTGTAGAGCGGATTTCAGATATTATCTCATCCACTCATAATTGCATAACGGATGAAAAAGGAAAAAAAAATTCCTGGGATGGAGAGCAAAATATCCAAGAAAGTGGCATATACGACGCATCATTCCCATATAGTGTTCGTTTTTGTATTACACATTTTTCACAATGGCACCTTTTTTTTTGTCTTAGTAAGAATATCAGGTTTTTATTGGTGAATACAACAGACAAAGTTGTACGTTTGAGTCTAAATTACAACGTCTCATTGTTTGAATATTTGCTAAACTTTTATAATTGAAAAGTTTTGTTTTCCATAACAAAGAAATACCATTGCTTTTTCACTGTAAATGTACAGTTCGATAGATGACAAATTATTTATCAAAAAAAATATTTCATATTATTTTCTGCTAAATTATGTATTCTGTTTGGTGTGGACTTTTCTTTCGATGCTATCTATGTCCACTTTATTAATCAATTTTAATATTTAAAGAAAAAAAATGAAAGAACGGTGGATATTTTTGTTAGATTAGATAGTCCATAGTGAAATAAGTCATTTCTTAAAGAAATGGAATTTTGTAATTTTTATTAGTAAAATTGATGTATGATTTAATCATATGTTGTTTGATCTGTGATTTTTGATCATTCATTTACTAAAAGACATCGCTATTGGTCGTTTGCAGAAAAAGTTTACAGAGAAAGTCTACAAAATCGATATTTTAGGAAAATAATAGTCCATTCCCTGCTTTACGTTGGCAATCAATTCGTACAGCAGATGAATGCGCCAATATTGATTGCAATGCGGAATTTGTCACACGTGGTGAGCGTCGTCTACATTGTTATAGATGTGGTAAAATTCATTGTCGTCGTTGTATGATGCTTACATCAGATGGTATTGAGCGTATTTGCATTGCGTGTTCGGAATTAGCTCAGCAAAATAACCCATGATGATAGAAAGTTGTTATTAACATGGTATTGGTTGGCTTTTTGAAAATTGTTAATATGACTTGTGTTCGGTAGGATAACATTTATTGCTTTCCATTTGTTTTTCCTAACTTTGATGGCAATTTTAGATTGATTTGGTTTAAATTTAATTAAATTATTGAGTAGTGTGAAAATGAATTTAAATAACTTTTTTTGGAATTTTCAAAAATAATCCATTTTATGTTTTCAAATTCTATACAGCTAAGAATTCTATTTAGATTTTTTGAATCTAATTCATTAAACCGGATCAGTTAGCAAATATATTTCTAAGCTGTACCTAAATCTTTGTCATTCCTTGTCCCATTCCGAATTTCAATTTTTTGTAATATTTGATCAAATACTGAAAACGTTAACTATTTACTGGGATTGTCAAATTTTTAACTGTTCCGTTGTATTACAATGTTATCGGTCATTGTATAAATAATATATGTTTCTAGAACAGAATATATTGCTCGATGTAAAGCTCTATCAATTGATTTTTCCCGAATTCCAGAACATATTTACTTTTCGAGATGTTGTTATATGAATTAATTGAACTACAAATGTGTAGCTGAATGTCAAGGATATCAGGTGATGTTCAAACACCTTTTGGAATGTCATCTTTTGTATAGCCAAATGATTAATTGGTATTTTCCATCTTTTCATAACTTCATTGGTTGTGTTGTAATTTCATAATCGCTATGTTACCATTTCTTTTTGTACTTATTCTTGAATATAATACACTTTATGCACGATCACATGCTACAGGTGCAGGTGATGAACATGTTGAACGTGAGCGGACATTTAAGGTTATCAGATCTTAACTCGACATTTGGTTTTTTTTTTTAGCCCACATACTTTTTGCTTCTTGTTAGCTATTTATTCGTTAATTTTTCTTCTTTCAAAATGTAAGGATTTACAAGGTTATGATACTTGAAATTTTAGAAATTTATTCATTGCATGTTTCGTTTGCTTACTTTTTGCTTCTTGTTACCCACTTATTTGTTAATTTTTCTTTGGATTGTTTGGTTGGAATAGATGGAAAAAAATTTTATTTCACTTATGCTAAAATATCAGTAAGTAAATCGATGAATGTTTAGAAAATGAAAAATACTACGAAATTTAACGTTTAAACGAAAAAGGAAAATAGGAGCAATGTTCATTTACAAACATATTTACTACTTTTTTGATATTTTTAGATTAAATTACACAGTCATATGTCAACTTGACTCTCATTTACAACTAATTGAAATTTCGTCCTTTTTTATGCTTGTTTAATTAGTACTATAAATTTCGCGTAGTATAGAAGTGACAGTAAGCAAGATATCAGTATCAATCTACGATTTCTATATCATCCTCAGCAATTATCAATGTTACCATTATTATCGTTATTTTCATTTTATCTAAATAAAAGAAAAATAACGAAATTTCAACTTCAAATAATTTTATTATTCAAAATTTAGTAATTAATCAATGACTGTATTTTTATTTCTTTCCCTTTACCCATATCTGATTGCTTATTAGATTAGATTATTAGTTCCTTGTTACATCGTTTGTTTTTCTCCTTCACTTTTTTGCTTAGTAAAATGTTTATTGTTGGTGGTTTAATTCATGTTTCCTCTTTCATCAATGTTTTCATCTTTTTCTTTGCAAATAAAGCATTTTACATTTGCATGTTTTACGCACGTGATCAGGCCACGTGTACATACACTGGATATAATACCTGGCACGATACTATTAGACACGTGATGGTATGGTTCTTCGTTATATTCTGTCTTGAATGAAGTCGAAATGATGTTTTTGAATGGAAGTTTAAGGACGTTATTGCATTAATTAACTTCTGGTGGAACGGTATAATTTAAGACTTGAAAACTTTTTGCTAATTTCGATGAAGCTGGCGAAAAATCAGTGTAATTTAGAAAGGGTTTGGTTGAAGAAAACCATGATGAAATCCGAAAATAATGAAGATTAAAAGAAAAACAAATTCAAGTACATATGAAATAAATCATTGCTGCTGATGACTTGAAATAAATTGGTCATAGATATGACATTGTACCGGAATTTAAATATTTAAAAATTAGATATTTGAATTTGTTTTTCTAGGTCCAAATATTGTTCGCCAGCAGGCTTAAGTCAATATCATTATAAATTGGAATAGAAATCTCTCATAAGCTGTATGATCGTATTGATTTGTGGTATTGGAATATTTTAAAATTTCTACTCCATTTCAGTAGTCAGATGAAATT